TAACCAAAGCCGATCCACTCGAACGCTGGTCCAGTTCATGCAGCCGCCTCATAATCGCCGGCGGCGTCAGCGTCGCCACCAGCGTACACGACGCCGTCGCATAGTACAAGAACAGCACAAAGAACTTGCGGTTCAGAAATCCAATGCATGAGTCGCCCGTGAACGGGCAATGGTGGTCCATTAACAACACACACTCGTCGCACGACGAGCAGTGGTGCGCTCGATCCGGTTTAAATACCCTGCACTGCGTGCAATATCGAAACTGTCCATCGTGGCGTATCATTGACGTTCCGGCCGCCTTCACCGCCGCCGGCGCTACCGGTATCATCACCGCACCACAACCACCGCTGCCGCTTACGTTTCCGCTGCCGCCCACTGCACTGCCCACCCCGTCCTCGCTTTGCGTATCGGCTGAACCCGCCGTTGTCGCCGTCATCGCCGTCGCCGTCGTTGCGCCCGCCACCACCACCATCGCGTTCGAAGCTGTGCACGTGCTCGTTGACGTTGTAACCGCCGCCGCCTGCCACTGCCTCGCCTTCCACGTATCCGGCACCTTTCCTGGCGACGCCAGAGCGGTCAACAAGTATGACACCACTGTGCATGAAATGCACCACAGAAACACCACCAACTTGACCGCCGTAGCCATCGGTTGAGTACGCAACTGCGGTAGCAGCGCCACAGGCACCACCAAGTACACGCCCGTGGCGATGAAGCATAGCACAAATGTTATGGATAACACAGACAAAGGGCGCGTCACTCCGCGCCGAAGCTCAAATGAGGGGTACAATGTGCGCAAAATCAATCTCATACGCGGTCGCCATAGCGCGCTCCATGAAGCGCGCGAGTGGTGTCCCATAAGCTACGGCGAGCTTGTTGTTTTTCTTTTTTTTTTTGTCTTCAACGGGTGGCGGCAAGAGTGCGCCCGGAGGTGCGGTGCGTGAACAAGCAGCGGGTGTTGTTAGATTCTTGTTCTGGCGGGTGGGTGAGGAAAGAAGATTGGTGTTGGAAGAGCGTTTTGCTTTTGTGCTGTTTGGGCGCGCTTTGTTGGCGAGCGCGGTGAAGTAGGTGACGGCTTGCTGCCAGAGGGTTGGGCGGTTGGGTGGGGTCAAGCTGAGTTGCTCGTTTGGATTGTGCATGTGCCTTGGCGGCTGCTGCTGCCGCTGCCGCTGCTGCTGCCGCGGTGCTGTGACCCTTGGCCTCGACTGTGCTGGCTGGCGGCTGCCGTCTGCCGTCAGGCACAGCTACCACAATGAAACACATGCCACGTGGCCACGTCGCCGCCATGTAACGCACGCTCACCCCGACCATGGCACCCCACGCACAACGCTACGACGGGTAATACATACAAGTGCAGATCACCGTTTAAAACAACGCCTTGGGACCAGAGGCATCCCTATAACCCTTTTGCATACCAAAGCTGAGACACTGCATGCTAATAAGCTTAAAAGAGCTTACCATCGTGGCGTGTGTAGCCCCCATCCGAGTAAAAGCTCTGCCCCGCTCTGCTGCCCCGCACCGCCAGCTGCTGCGCACTTGCCCCGTCACTCTGCCGGTCCAACCCCACGTCACGCCCTGCCACTGCCACCAGTACCGGCCGCCCTCCCTCCCCCCAACAAACCCAACAAGACGGCCCCCCCCCCTCCCCCCCAAAAATAGTAAACATGTGCTCGTGTAGCTGTAATCCACCCTATCTCGTTACCTTCGCCATCTGTTCCGCGTCGCTCCCCTTTCCCCGCCAAACACCGCCACCGCTTCTTCCCATGTGCCTACATGGCTCCCTTCGAACCGTCTACATGGGCAGAAGTTTCCGAAGCAATCGCAAACCCAAAGACAGCCCCCACCGAACCCCTCTTCGTCCTTCAAGTTCGCTCCTTCACCCAGTCTCCCCACCACTATCTCGCCCATCCACCCCCCTCAGAACACAACAACAACAACAAAACCCTCGACAACGCCAATGCTCCCACTCATTTCAACCACTTCCCTTCCTCGGACAAGCTCTACGCCCCCCACGTCCAAAAATCACATCGTTCCGATGGCCTCTTCGACGATCTGCTCGGTCTGGGTCGTGTCGACCTCGCCAGTGGCGTTATGGCCCGTCGACACTCCATAGCAAAGCCCAACTTTCCGAACTGCTCCACGCAATCCCCGATCAATCCCTCTTGTCACCAGTTCCAGCCCTCCGAGTATCTGGCCCGCGTACATGCTGATACCCCGCTTCACCATCTACGTCAAGCTTCTCACAACTTGCACCAGCTCAGTCGCACCCTCGACTCGCGCAAGGAACGCTATCGACAGCAAAAATTCCTCTTTGCTGCGTACATCAAAGCCCAGTTTGAACGTGCAAAGCACTCCATCCAACACCTCTCCCCCTGTCCAGATGAGTTCAGTGCCATTCACACCCAACGCCAGTTTTTGCGCGCTGAAAACAGTCTGCGTGGTCGCTACGAACAGCTCTTACAACGCGAAACACAATTGGAACGTCTTCAAGGAGCCCTTACCGTGTACAAGCGTTATGCATGGTTGTTTTCCCTCGGTAATACCCTGCGCTCCGCGGCAAACGGAAACGTTTCTACCGTCGAATCCACTTTCCGCGAGTATATGCGTGCCCAAACCTGGTTGTCTGCACAACCGCCAGATTCCTTGCAAGTCTTACGCCGCGATATGCAGCAGGGCTTTGATCATCTGGTAAATGAAACTGTTGAGCGCTTGTCCAATGTTCACACCTCCGCTGCTGATACCTCAAGTCTGGTTTCTTCACTCTTTCTCGTCAACAAAGAGGAGCACTTGTCATATATTTTGTCCAAACGCATGGCTACCGCTGAAAAAGCACTGGATTCCGCAATTGCCGCTGCTGAGCTTCCCACGCTTCTATCTGATGATATGCACACTGATACAGAGCTCGCAGACTTGGTTACTCGAGCTAGTGACGGTTTGTACGTCGCCTTGGGACAAGTATGGCGACTGGGGCATCTGCTCATGCAACATGATCAATGGCTTCGTATCGTCGACTCGCACATCATTCGCCTGTGCAACAGCTACGTCAAGGTTGTACGGGAGGATGTAATGCAAGACGTCAGTCTCATCACACGCCAGATCGTAAAGGAAATCACATCAACGAGACTGAATGCTCTGAATGAGTTACGCATATCGGAAACCTGTCTGGCACCCTTGCAACAAGTCAGCACCCAAGTTACGGACGCGTTTTTGATCTCCCTTGCTCGCGCTGTGCGTCGTGGAGCGGAGAAATGGGCTTTGAGCGAAGTCGAGAGGAACTCCGTTGGAGCCTCATCGGCAAAGTTTTTAAGGGCTGTCGTTGTGGAAGCATTAGTGCAGATTGAATCATCCTGGGTTCGTGGAAAAGAGCTCGACGAAGGACCTGTTACCATTACTGATCAAATAAGCGACAGCGACGACGATCATGAAAGTCCTACCAAAGGACCGAGTGTTGACTGTCTAAGTCGAACGTGCGCAGAAGCTCCGCTGGTGTTCGTCAAAACTGTGGAGAATATGATGAGTGACTACAAGGAAAACGAAAGCGCAGCTCTTCAAGTGGCTGTGTGCTGCACGGAAATGGTAGCAAACGTTCTATCAGCAATTGAGGAGAAGACCGGACTGTCATCTCCATATGACTCACGCGCTACGCAAAGACAACTCCAGCAAGTTTCGCGTCAGATTGCAGAAATTAAAGACAGAGCGTTGAAGGCATATGTGGTTCTTGTTTTTGAGCCGTTTCAGAGAATGGCTGGTGCACTGGTGAAGTTCCCGAAGAACAAGCTAGATGACTCGGTCAGTCGAACGGTGCCGATCAAGATTGTTGGCGTTTCCAAGGCAGCACGAGAACTAGTACTGCGATTGGCGTTGGTGATGATCACAACGGTGAAGCGGACGTCCCACCCAGAACTTTTGAGCGGAATCATGATGAAACTGATCTCAGGCATTGGGCAAACGTTGATTGGAACCTTAGGTACGGACAAGTTGGCGTACAATCGGGCTGCACAGCTGTGGGTAGATGTGATGTATATGCAAGCAATGGTAACAAAAGGGGCAAACGCAGACACGAGCGGTTTGCAGGCGTCATTAGACGGGTTCTCAAAGGTTAAAGAGCGGGCTGTACAGGCCGTTCTAGCCGATGGATTTAGCTTCAGCCTGGCTGATATGAAGACATTGAGGGAACAGGTTGTGGAGAGTGAGTTACAACAGGCCCCTATGATCTGTGAATGCTTTATGGAAACGTGGAGCTTGGTGGTATCTAGGGGGGAAGATGATTAGTGGGAATCAGACATTATCATTAAATGCTCGTCAGATGGCAAATTGACCTCTGTATTAGCATGGATTGTAGTCATCATGTTCCTCTTAGGGCCTGCAACTGGGCATTACATAGTAAGCAGCGTTACAAGCGACGCAATACTTGCAAATAAGCGCTTATCCAGTGGAAGGGTGCTGCACTCCGACGATGGGTCAGAGGCGCTATGCACTTGGTACGGCGTTCATTAGGCGAAGGCGGGTGTGGTTATAAGTGTTCTGGAGAGAAATTTTGCCTGTGACATTGTCGAGGGTGCGAGCTGAGGTTTATACATGTCTGGGCAAACCTAGTAGCAACCCCGGTTGCGGTAGACGGACGATTGCAGCCCCCTTCCTTAGCGATCTGGCGGTTGCAGATCACATGTGCTCTAGAAGGGGGAGCATGAACTAGACAGAGAACGAAGAAGTATGGTGCATAATTGCTCCCGTCCAAACCGTCGTTCGGACCTGGGCAGGGCAAGGTGCAGTGGGCAACTTCGTCATGCAGTCACTTGGTCAGAGAGATACATGGTTGGCCTTTACTGGCGGTAGGAAGGCTAAAGGGTTATAAGAATACCTTTGGGTTACCTACGGAAGGTACCAAAAGAGTTACCGATTGCTCTAGATTCCGTTGCAATCGGGGAACCACGACTACATGGCGACACTTGGGTATATATATTTTGACAATGCTCGGTCTTCCAACACGAGTCACACGTTAGGGCGGGGTGGCCGAGTGGTCTAAGGCGCTGCGTTTAGGCCGCAGTCTCATTGAGGCGTGGGTTCAAATCCCACCCCCGTCAGTGGTTCATCCTTTTTGCTTCTTGCCTCTCGTCATTCCGCGTTCTAGGAAGCCTTCCTTCCAGGAAGTCTTCCCTGTTTCTGAGCATGCCCTCTCAGGCAACGAGTTATCACGCTGCGTCCGCACTGTCGCATACAAAGCTCACGCTCCAACTTTTGTTTACATTATAATTTGCTTCTGGATGTAGAGGACCATCCACCCAGGCGCTGCCGTGGATCGTGATGCCTGGTGCTGCATCTCCATCGACGTCATCAGATTCAAGGTGGCCTATTGACGTTACTGTGGTCTCTCATCACGAAGCAATCGCTCCACTGCCTCGTCAAGGCTCGCCAAAGTTCCATCACCGAATTCATTCACAATCATTTTGACAAACCCTTTCACATGCGTATTGTAAGTGTCGTAGAATGCCTCCATGTTACTAATGATTGCCTGTTCCACATAATATCCCAACAAGGGAATGTTTGCATTGCATTCCCCCCAAAGTGTATGCACGCAACGCGTTTTGTCATCCATATCCTCCTCCATAGTCAAGCACCCCGTTGTCGAAATCACTTCTTGAAGGATGTTTGGACGTACTGTGAAGTATTGGACATATGGTTCCGCGTCATCCCATGTGTGCGTATCGCGGATCTCGATGTAGCAATCATCAATCAGTGCAGCAATCATCTCCGGAATGTTCACGTTTGCAGGAACATATAGCAGTGTGCGACTCTTTGATGTCGTTGTCTCCCCTGTCTCCCTGTAGTCAATACTTTCCATGCGTTTAATCGCCCCATTTGCCCGCAAGAACCTCATGTACGCACTTGTCGCACGCACCTTCCACAGAATATCGCGGCGAATATCAAGCTCAACGCGTATCCGAAATGAGGATACCATACTCCCACCTTGCCAAGTGCGACGCTTAGCAACCCCCAATCGTCTGCTTGCCGCTCCGATTTTTCGGCCAAAACCCAGGTCCACCACTGAATTCAAGCTAGAGCTTGAGCTTTCGACTGCTTGCTCGAGTTTGCATCATCAAACCACACAATTCAATTCACGGCGCTCCAGTTATGCACTTTGACCCTTAGTGTTCACATACTTATCCCCACTTCAATTTAGTTACGCACTTCTAACCATCATGAGCTGGGTCAAGCTCGTTGTAGTTGCGGCCTAACTCGCATCCGACGCTCCGTACTTCGTATGTGGCCGATCGTACAATTTCACATAACCCCTTCATGCTCGCTCCACCCAGCCCCGTCTATCTAGGAAATTGAGCGGGCCAAGCCAAGATCACCCACCAGTGCTTCACACTGGCCCTTCTCAGCACAGCGAATTTATTCAGGTACATCAAGTATAGACTATGAGTGTACAAACTGCAAAACGATTACATTCCTTACCAAATAACAGCTGCAAGTCTTTGCGACTTATGGTCCACATCTTCTCTCATTCGGTCATAACCCAAATATCACATTCACGCCATGTGAACAACGGCCTCCCAGCTAAAGCACCAACTGAAATCCCCCCAGCCTTGTTTGTATGTGCTGCTGTATTTAAGACCTGTGCAACATATGTTGGACAGGGCCTACGTGTAGTACATACAAATACAAACTGCAAAAATGAGTCAACCACGCCTACTAATAACGGTCTAAGCAACTCTCGAATGCCTCTCAACAGAAGCAGTATCTCGTTCATAACAGTATTTGTTTGGATGTATAAATAAATCATGAGCTTCAGTTTCAACCGAAACCCTTTCTTTCAAGTGGTATCCAGGAACGCAGATGCGTGAACACAAAACCAATAACATGATACAGATTGATATCAACTCGACCGTGAAGAAATGGCGGGCTTGGGTGACGTACTTGAAGAGAGGGAAGTTCTTCGATAAGAATTCTTATCCCCCTTTCGGGATTAGCAGCGCGACTGGATAAGACACATACATACATACACGACACATGTTCTAGAAACAACCCCTCATTCTCTAAGCACGCAACCAGAGCGCAGTTGTTTCTCCTAGAACGACCGCTGAGCTGTAGAGATGTTGAAAGAAAAAAGAAGCGCTTATGTTTCCGACATGAACATGGGTCATGTATTTTCCATCGGTTCTGCACGTCATCCTTTGCCTGTATTGCAATGCATGGTCCTCAAAAGAACCTTCTCACCCATTCTTGACACAAATACTAAAACCACACAGAGGAACAGAATTCAACAAAGGCAATCAGTAGAGTACTCTGAGTTAATTCTTCGACGTGCGGGGTGAGTTATACAAGAAGCGACGCTCTTTCCACGAGAATACTTGTTCTAATTACACCGCAGACATGCAGAGCACACGTTTGCCAAAGCTTCGTCATACGCCATTCTGTCAACAAAACATCCTCGGCAAGGGGCAATTGCGTTGCATGTTGCTCTTTCCTGTGTGAGTTTGTTTGGTTGTACCTGTCTCCTTGTCGAGTTATAGCGGTCGACTCTATCAGATAACGGTGCCCGGCTTAGGGGCAAATGTGCTACAACAATTTCTTACAAAGCACTCCGCTTGGAGTACGATCTGACAGCGAGTGGAGTGAGTGACGACGAAGTGCGCAATAGCACATCAGAAAGAGGGTTTCTGATATTAGTGGTGAACTCTCCTACCCGGAACCTTTCGGGAAAGGACGTTTATGACCGCTGTATTGTAGAATGGTCATTATTCTTAGAGTGATAGGTACACAACTCTCCTCCGGCGCTTTTGGAGGAGAGCTGACACGCAATAGAGCACGCAGAGGCAGCTGACTTGTGCCGACACTCGACCTCACCCCTTTAAATAGGGCTCTGCAGGGCTATATCTCGTCCTTGGCAAAAGAGGTATCGTACAATCAGGTAAAGAGTTGCTAAAAAAATGCCAGTACTTGATACTTTAACTAAATGAAATAAAGAGGGTCGTCTCAGCAGACCCATATGAAGTGTGGAGACAGCGAACGCTTCGTAAGAGAGAGAGAGAGAACAGACAACCTCTTCTTCTTTGAAGGATACATGCGATCCGCCTTCACTTTAGAGAAGCAAAACGGATCTGCGGTTGGGTCTCCAAAGGAGACCAACACATTCAGGTTCTTCTCTGATATATTTTGACTTTGACATAGGAACAAGTTGTCTTTAGCCCAAAACTTGCATAGGCTCGTGCAGCGGCCAGAAAACGGAGGAATAAGAATACAGCTTACATATTGTTGCATGGGTATCACTGATCTTGATGAAGGGAGCGTATTTGATCTGCAATACTTGCATCGCCTTTGGAAGTAGGAACGCGACAACGAAAACATAAACTCACACGGATGCAAACAACAACAACAAAGCTTCATACCTAGGCCTGGATAAGGTATTTTGCAACTCCCTGGGAACGGTGAAAACAGGGTAGAACATTCTGTACTCCAGAGTCAGAAAACCAGTCGCCTTCTTCAACAGACATCATTCTCGCTTTTGGTTATAAATGAAGCATTTAAAATGCAGCTTTCAAACGAAAGGCACGGAAGAAGTCCACCACGCACCGTAAAACATTTACCGAAAAAGTTGTTAGCTATCTTTCGCAGACTTTAGGTTCGCTAGATTGTTCTTGCATATGTACATGCCGCTGCACGTCATCTTATCAAGTAGTCATTTTTTGGTTGAAGGAACTGTCTCTGGCCCGAAGTTCGAGTTCTCAAAGAGAACCAGCTGCATATCCATCTTGCCTTCCTCGTATTTTACATCAGCGCGTAGCTGCAACGACAAAACAGGGGCATCAACAAATCGTATCCAGGTCGTCGCTATGGGCGATTCCGGAACGATTCCTCGTCTTACAATCAAACTTGCAAAAAGAGATGTCTTCTGCAGGGTTAGGAGAACAAGCCCGTGAATACCGTCATGATCTATCAAAACCGTGAAAACAGTTAAGATCGTGGCCCCTTGTTCTGTACGAAGCAATTGTATCTTTCGCTACTCGTTGTCATGGGTCAAGTTCAAGCGTTGGCCTTGGGGAGTAACAGATCGTATAGGTATTAAACAAGAACCAAAAATTATTAGACAGGGTTCACTGGTAGAAGGGTACAGATGCTGTGAAGGTGTTGTTCTTCATCGTTAAAGCAAAGGCAAACGTGATCATCATCGACGATGGAAAATGATCGAATGATAGTTTTCATGCAGTCTTGTAGATCGGTTGCCCAATGGCGGGGTTGATTAATATGTGCTTGGATGGAAAGAAAAAAAAATAGATGCGAGCACGTTAAGATGATTTCTCCCGACCTAGAATCGAACTAGGGACATTTTGGTGAATGCATTCACTACAGTCAAATGCTCTAGGTTGCGCTGAAACCAACTGAGCTACCGAGAGATCCCGGCTGTAGCCCACATTTGCATTTCAAAAAGTTAATAAACCAACGTATATTGTTGGTCGACGCACTTCTCTGGGGCCGGTGATGGTCCCAGCTTCGCTATTCGCGACGGACTTCTCCACTTGTTCCCGTCCGGTCTCTTATATGATATCTCGCGCGAACCTTGATGGCATCTGCGATGGTATTCAGTTCCATCCAGGATCTAATCTAATTTAAAACCGGATCTGATGTACTGTAACTCGATGGCTTTCCAGCTTGTGCATTGCAGCGAAACCAGTTTGGCCAGCGAGTTCATGCAGACAACGGTTTAGATGGGTTTGCAATCATTGCTGGTAAACGGATCGTTGGCTACTTTCATCACAGTAGATCAGTTGCGCACAATCCCCCTGGAAACCGAAGGGCCCGAACGTAAGGAGTCGCGAATCATCGATCGACAGTTTTCATGCCTTGGGAATCTTTCTAATCCCCGCAAACATGCCGATTCAAGAACAAACCGAGTTACTTCAGTTTCGAGATCCTGACCAGCCCAATTTGCACACCGTATTTTGGACAAGAGAAGCTTTATCTGAAGTGGAGAACCCGAAACTTCTCGTCTGGAACCATGGAATTGGAGAGCATTCTGCTCGCTACCGAAGATTCGCAGAGACTATCTTGAGTCATGTACCATCGCTTCATGCCGTGATTTCATTCGATATGCGAAACCATGGTCACTCAGATGGCATTAAAGGGGCGACTCGGAACATCACGGACTTTGTCAAAGATCTTTACGAGCTTGTTTTGCCTCGTGTATCATTGAAATACGGCCCCAACTCAAGCGTCGTTATCGGAGGTCATTCCCTTGGTGGTGCGATTGTAGCGGGTGCGATGAGCAACCGAGATTGTTTGATAGCGGAATCTATCGGTCAGTTGAGTGGTGTCATACTAAGTGCACCAGCCATCGAAATTGTTGTCAGCGGCGCTGTCAACAAAGCATTGCAACCGTTTGCTCCTTTTCTAGTGCGAATCCCTGGGTCGAGAGGATTTACAAAAGGTGCCGGTATTGATCCAAATGACCTTTGTCAAGACAAAGAAATTGTAGAAGCATATGTCAATGACCCTCTTGTACATGATAAGATAAGCGTCGGTGTCGGAGCTGATCTTCTTACGTACGGTACCTCCATTGTGGATACGGTGAAACAAGGAACAGAATGCGTTCTCAATTCTGTACCAGTGCTTGTTTTGCATGGCAAGGTTGACAAGATTACTCGCATAGAAGGAAGCAAGAAACTTGTAGACGCCATTAATCACAAAGGACATGCGAAAATGATCGAGATAGACGGGGCTTTCCATGAGGCGTTCAACGAAAAGCCGGAGATGGGTAGTTCAACTTTCTACGACAGTGTATGTGAGTTCTTAAATTCTGTTCTCACCTAAACTTGCGTGGAGCTATCGCAGACAGAGAACTTCTCTTCGAACCGGCTGTTCATCGATTACAGCACATGGGCAGAGAAACAAATCTGCAACCTCGACGCTTTGTGCGGCGTTACTAGGTATCCTCACTATGGAAAATCATGGCATTAGGTATGCGTCCTTATCATTCGGTATGCTAGCAGTAACACGATCCTCCTTGGAACACACCCCTCTGGCTTAGTGTAAACACCTGTACAAAAGAGTGTCACGAAAGATGATTTCTGCCACTACGTACGAGCACGATCATTACGTCATACTCAGTTTTGTCTACTTATAGCGTATGCACAACTCTCGTACGATCCTGTATTGTATTTGTATTCTAAAGTGATCTACTTTGTCTAGTCGTGTCCAAATGTTTGAAAACAACAGCGCTGAACACTATGTGCTTCGTTGCCCTAAGCGGACAGATTCTAGGAGACGCGAGCTTCCCCCGCAGCAGAGAGAAAAGGTAAGACTTTGGCGGAGATAGTCCGCCAGTGGCCACAGAAGGTGTTACCCTTTCTTAGGAGAGAGAGGTTTTTCTCATAAAAAGGAAAAAACCTCTATCAATATGCCGTAATCAGACATATTGAACCCAAAATAAAGAAGAAGAAATGTTTGAAATGCCTTCTCTACATATATCGAAACTTCCCCGATGAGCCTTTCTGAACTTGTCGTTCAGAAGGAGCCCAATGATTCGGCCATTACTGCTGGGGAGTTTGATCCCGAAGGTGAAGCTTTTGTACGTCATCAAGAGCTGTGATATAAGATTTCTTTGTGCGAGATTAGTTGTGCGACAGGAACCCCTCAGGAAACACAAAGGACAATGACCTTGGTACATTGCAGTGATGAGCCCGTTAAGGTGTTCAAAGCTTTGTGCTGATGCGAATCAGGGGGACGGCAGTACAGATCGGCGGGTTGGTCTGACTTGGGAACTTATCCTTCTAGGCAGAGAATACTTCGAAGCGTTAGAACGTGGAGTTTGGGATGAGGATTGTTGGCGCACAACGAACATCCAGGAAACCAAATGGCATTTCTATGAAGATCCCGAACAGGCGGAAACCTACTACCGGAAATCTACTGCTCAGCCTGATCAAGGAACACAAGACCTGATGTACTCAGTCTACTCAAAGTAGGCTTGTCCCTGAGGGCTTCGAAGATTAGTTGTTATTGTGGTCTGACATTTTTTTCGCGACGACCGCTCTTTCAATGTAGGTGAGCGCTTATTACGAGTCGATGGATGTTCCGCCATCGATTAATTCTACAAGAGTACAAGGGTGATGCCTCAACTGTGTCGCTGATAAATCTGTATCTTTATGATGTCCAGACTCTTTAAGGCCATTGGTGAATGCGGGATAGAAGCCTGCTCTTCAGAAACACAAATTGGCTCTGCCAAAGATGCAATTCCCGGCGAAGAATGTGCGACAGTGCAAGTGGGGGGGTGGGGGGGGGGGGGGGGGGGTTGCAAGCGCACTTAAAAGGTGTGAGTGTGAGTCATAATGACGGCTCTGGTGTTGAGGATGTAAAACATTTTTCGCTTCTTCTTTGTTGTGAGTGTGAAAATTCAGTCACTACTTCGACCTGAGATGTACGTACTCTTCGACCTGAGATGTACGTACTCTTCGACGTGTTCTCTGCTTCGATATCTAAATTCCCAACATAGTCGTCATTACTTCGATCTGAAGAGAATGGAGTCACGCTGTTACATTCTGCAATCCCGAATCAGAGGAGTACTCTCCGAGAAGATGAAACTTCTTTCCCGTAGATTTTGTGAAGTTAGCACTGGAAACCCCTTTTACAAGGAGACAAGCGCTAAGCCCATCTGGGGTGAGGACAACTGTGTTTGGGATTCCCAAATGTGAATACGATATGCTCGGGAATACTACCTCATGTCTCAGAAGAGGACGTGACATGGAATCAAATCGTGGTCTGACGTTTGTGGAACTTCGTCACACTTTCCCACGAAACGCCGCCGAAGAACGGGTATGCGGCAAACCGCTGTGCCCATGTACGTAGGGTGCCGAAATCAGAACGCTCTCGCTGTGTGCACAACTCGTGAACATAGATTCAAGGGTGCTATCTCGTAAAGAACTGTTCTGTCAACGTGTTTACTTGCATTAAGATAGGTACAACGCCACAAACCGGCACACAAATAGCATTCCCCGATGCCGTGGGAGAAGCCCTAAGAGTTTCCAACCGATCTCATCTGGCCACCTGCGCAGAGCTGTACCTTCATGATTTTACCACCCATCTTCTGGATGCGTTGCTGTTCGGCGTACCACGAGGAGAATGGTACCACTTTGGTGGTGTATACGTTTTGCAATTCACGGAAGGTGTACAGACGGCTCTCACTCGGTAGCACGTAGGTGACCTTGAACGCACGGCGGTCCTTTTCGACAGCAGAGCTCTTTATGCGGCGATCCGCAAGCGACCCTGGGCCACTTCCGTCCATGTCGTATCCCATTCTGGGAGCGCGTCGGCAGATAGCTGTCTGGGTAGGGGCACGAGCCAGTACTGGGGATGACGCGGCGAACGCAACCATTTTCGGACAGACCGTTGAGTTTGAATACGGTGTATGAATGCGTTAATGAAGTCGAATGAACCGAGCTGCAAGGCGTGACTCGTCTTCCGGAGATGAAGCAGTAACTTTAAACGCTGCAGAGTCAGAACCAACTTGGCAATGGAAGAACACTTCGCAACTGCCTAGAGTTTTCTGCGGGTGGATGGGGGGGTGAGTGCTGTAGGGTATTGGGAGCGCCAGACCTCAAGGGAGAGCAGTTGAAAGATGCCTTGGGGTGGGGAGGTGCATTCGTTGGCGTTCTACATGACAAAAACCAAGATTCTTTGGGGATCTCAACTTTACAGTTTCGCTCTCACTTTACAGTGCTTTGTGTATATATGCCACGTGTGAAGCTGTTACGTGAGACTCCAGCTCGTGATAGCCTTCGCAGTTCGAGGAAAAGTATGGTTAACCGCACTTTGGTAGCTGAAGCCTCCCCACGGGGGAGGCGTGTCCAGAACCCAAACAAGCCTTCATTCGTCTGGGAACCCTTTACTCCGTGCACTGGGAAAGCAAACCAGACTGGCAACAGAATTGCCGTTCAACGTCTGCCCAAAACATGTCGGCGTTCTGGTCAATAGGGTTGCGGGAGCTCGCGAGCCAGGCGCGTGCAAGGGCTAGATCTTCGTCAGGGCTGAACTTGGTGCCCTTTTTCGACATGGCGGCAGTTTCGCGGTGCTTCAAGACAGTTGGTGGTGGTTGCGGACGGCTTTGCGGCTGGGATACTGGCACGGGAAAGTTGGGTTGGTGCATATGGGGTTTGTGGGTTTTGGCGGGATTTCGGTGACGAAATGCCAAGTGGAAGGGAGCGCTTGGTCCGAATATTTGGCTTTCGATGGTCAGATCGCTATGTGTGTCGCCATATCCAGTGCAATTTACATATGGACATAGCGATATGACTCCTGATTTTGGCGATAACCGACACAGTAGACTTGCGAATATGAAAATTTCGTCGCCAAATCGAACGAATTTACATATTTATTCACACGGTAGGCATGCTCTTACACAACT